CCCTAAGCCCTGACCTTAAACCCTAAAATTCCACAACTCCAACCCTAAACCCTAAATGCCTGTTTGGGAAGGAGGTTCAGTTCAAAACACCTGAAAACATCCAGGACTCGCTGCAGAGCGGTTGATTCTTCAGGGCCGCTCTTAGCCACAAAATGCAGAATCTTAATTTGCTATAAGACCTTATATCACCCCTACGTACCCCCTACATCTCCCCCAGTGTGCTCTAAAAGCTCAGATGCTACAAGCCCCAAAAAATCTTAAAACCTATCACCCCAGAAGCCCCAGGAATCCCAGAAACCCTGCCACCCAAAACCTCGCTAAAACCTAAAGCCCTAAACGTAACCCTAGTGAAAACTCCTCAAATGGGGTTATATAGGTGAGTAACATAAGGCTTGCTAAGGGGGATGCTAGGAGTTTAGACCCTACACCCTAAACCTGGTGGCAGGTTTGGCATACGGCAGCCTTTGCAGTTCCCGAATGCGTGAGGAACTTTTTTGGGCTTAGGGGTAGGTCTTAGGGACTCAGGGTTTGGGGGTTCAGGGGTTAGGGTTGAGGGTTTGGGGGATTAGGGTTTAGGGTTTAGGTCTTACATGTTAGGACTGAGGGTTTCAGGCGTAAGTCTGCCACACACGCATTCACTGATGCTTAAGGGAGGGCGGCGATTGGATATCAGGATTATAACAGGGGATAATGTAGGGATCATTCGGTTAGCCGGCTGCTTCTTGGGGCATTGTTAAACTACAATGTTACATTCCTTCTGGGGCTTGGTAGTATGAGCCATAGGCATTGTTCTCAGAAATATGGGCCCCTTTTGGTTCTAGATGATATTACAGCACCCAATATTTAGGGGTACCAAAATGGGACCATAATTTTGGGAACTACCCATAGGAACCCAGTACGACCATCAGACAGAGGCCCCCATTCAGTAGAAGTGGTACTTGTATGACGCTAGTTGGGCCTCTGGGCAACATGGGGCCCAAGATATGCTGAAAGGATAACCTTGGGAGACCTCTAACATTGACACCTAAGTCGTGGCAACATGGGAATTAGGCTTGAGAGGGGGCCACTTTAAGTGCCAGTACCCCTAGTGGCCACTACCTGAGGGTGGGCGCCTAACGTACCCTGAACCCTATACCCCGAACCCTAAACCCGAGAAGCCCTGAACCCGAAACCTAAGACCTTAAACCCTAAACCCTGGACCCTGAATCCCTAAGGTTGAGGTATCCAGGATGTGGGGACTTATCAGGTTGTTGAATTGAGCTTGGAACGTTTGCAGTGCCAAAGGGAAGGATGAAAATTGAGGTTCTTTTTGTGAACACCCAAACTGCAAAAGTTCTGTATACGGAAGGTGTCCTGGTATGCTTGGCGTGGCCGGAGATTGGCACTGCAGGGCCTTGGTATCTACCATTTCCCCAGACATGAAACTTCCTCAAAATGATTCCTACACGAACCTATACAGGCACCTTACAGTCCACATTTGTCTCCCTAGGGTGCATATATAGTGGCTCCCTCTTTCAAGAACTCCCGGCATGACAGTTCATGAGAGTACTGTCGGGAGGTTCGATGATTTCAGCCTGGAAATCATGCGTCTTGGCAAGCTTCAAGAGTACTTAGTAAAGGGAGTTGCCATTTCTCAGCCATAAGGTGTACCGCCCTATGACGGCCACAGGTGCTTACTGGAGAAAAGGGGGCTCCCACATGTTCAAAGCGCTCGCGCTTAGCCACATGCTTGCAGGCTCAGGAGTTGCAGAATGTTATGTGGGTATTAGTCTAAACTCCTTAAGGGGGGGTTATATAAGGGATT